ACCGACACTTTGTGTCAAAAAGCCGAACGGCAAGTGGTGTATTGTGCATATTGATAACAAGCTAAATGTAGCTAATATTTCGGAACAGACACACAAGTCATAAAAGGATTTTCTTCAAGGGAATGTGTTGGTGGTACTATACATAGCGTACTCGACTTGGTCGATGAGTATTATCGATTCTTTATGCGATCCAGTGATATTCCGCTTACTGCACTGGGCACTCTGAGTGGTATTATGTGGGAATGGCTGGAGATTCCCCAAGGACTGCCTAATGCTTCAGCTACATTTGATCGTCTGGTGGCGCAACATTCCACCCACACCGGAATTACGCACATACGTACTTTAGTTACACTTTTGTCCATACTTGTCCCGATAAAGGTCGATCGGATATAAGGAAACCACATTGGTCATTTGCTAGCCGTGCTCGAGTGCATGCGAACTAAAAAAAATTGTACGACAACGCATCTAGATGCATTTCAGTGCAGAGAATATTCCTATTCTAGGATTTATCATTGGCAAGTGCGGACTTCGAGCGGATCCCGCTAAGGTCAAGGCTATAATGGACTGGCCGATTCCTGAATATCAAAGAATTGCGTAAGTGGGGGTTCTAGCCAAGTTCCTACACAAATACAGTGCAAATTAAGCTGACGTCACTCGGCCATTAAATGATCTCCTTAAAAAGGATACAGATTTGTGCTGGGACAACACTCATGCTGACGCATGTCGGTAAATAAAGGAAATTCTCGTCCATGCTCCTATCTTGGTGTTGCCAAATCCGGAGTACCCTTTTTAGTTTTGTCTGCGATTCATCTAACATTGCTCATTGTAGCGCCCTGTTACCAAGAGATGCTACAAGCTGCAAGTGGGTTATCGCTTTTAGATTTAGTTAGCTAAAATCTGCTGAAAAGAACTATCCGGTTCATGGCAAAGATCTACTTGCTATGTTGCATCTGCTCGTCGAAATGAGAGTTCATCTGCTTGGATCAAGTTATTCGTCGTCTACACATATCGTGCTTCATTACGCACGGCGACACAGTCGCCTCACCTCTCTAAGAGAATGGCTCATGGCTTTCCTTCTTTGAAGATAACTTCGAGATGAAGTTCAAGCCAGGCAAACAAAATGTGTTGGCATGCTTTTTCTCGCCGTCCTGATTATGAGCTTGCTCATGTCACGACTTTCTTGTTTCCGTTGATATTGTTAATTCGTGTGGCCTATCCACTGGGTCTTCAATGTGTAATATTATCTCATCCACTTGGAATCGAGAAAAAAAGCTTTGAAGATTGATAGGTGCACACCCACCCTCTGATGCGTACACACCCGATCCCTATATGAAAATTTGAGGAGAGCCCATGGTCCACCCATTGCACTCGCAGGTGGACACCGCCTACTCAGACCCACCCATTAGACTATTGCCAGCTGCTGCGCCCACCTATGCTTGAATATTAACAGTATTTATCGGCACGCTTGCGGTCCACACTACAGCATTATTCCATCAATATTGCATTCACGTGCCCTCAATCGAAGGTAGCGGATACCACTCGCATTGTTGTACCTCACGATGTGTATTTTTTAGTATTTACACATTTTTTAGGTCCATGATACTGCTCTCAGTACGCACTTGGGACGGGGAAAGCCTTGTGTCTTTGACATTCACTCTACTGGTGGCCAAACTCTACAAATGGGGAGCACATAAGTGCGTACACGCAAAACGTATCAGCAGGTAATTCATCGCCGCGATCGACTGCGCTAATCGCGATTTACCTGTGCTCACGGTGTGTTGGTAGTCCATCGGTATGGATTTAGTGTTTGGTCTTTCCAAAGACAGTGACAACAATACGGGAGCTGCATTATTTTTCGAACATATAAGGAATAGCTCACTCAACGGCGGTGCTGGATTTCATCGATTTCAAAGTTACAGCTATGCTGTGTATCAATCGTGTATATCCTTAGCAGGGGCTTCCTCTAACAATCATCTCCAATCGAGGCTTTCGCTTCACAAGAAAAGCCTAGGACTTCCATCTTTAAGCTGCTTGGAAAGCGTTTGGACATTTCTACAGCAAATCATCCGCAGACCGATGGCCGGACTAAAAAAAATTGATGGCTTTATTGGCGACTTTCTTTGCAGTATTTTTGCTGAGTCGCCACGGAACTGGAGTTCGATGCCCCAGTCATTGATTTTGCGTTGAGCAACGCTGTCCGGGTTTACTCCATTCTATGTGAATAGCCTCACGCACTCCCGCGTTACGCTAAAGTTATCATTATGTGGTTCTAGGCTTGGTGAGGGAGAGCCTTTTGACAATATTGCTGAAATTAGCCCTACCACGATGCCGAAACAAGTGAGCGAGTTTCTCTCCACGCGCTTTAGGGCATGATGACATGTGCGTGATGCTATGGCTGATAGCCAGTGCAAACAAAAGAACACGCTGATGCTAAGGGCAGAGGATGTATTGATTCTTCGGAAATTGGATACTAGTTCTTATTAAATGTTGCTATCTACATATGTAGTGCCTGCCGTTTGCAAGACAAAATTGGGTCCGCGCTTCGTTGGGCCATTTACGGTAATTGCGAAAAAAGGCCTTGCCTATTCACTCAATCTCCCGGACAAGTTACGCACACACCCCGTGTTTTACGTAGGTCGACTTAAGCCATATCACGATCCTTCTCTCGTGGACCGAAAGGATATTGAGCCTGAGTGTGGGAAGTAGTCCCTGCTAGCTGCATCTTCGTCAAGATCTCCTCCTCCTAGCCACCCAGACGCGGCAGACTATACTCCAATTTTCACAGTCGTTTGCCAACCGATTCGATCGAGCCTAGACGGTTCACCTGCTCACGCAACTAAGCTAACCCAGTCAATCACCGATCACAAGCACGTTGCACTTTGTCGAGGATCTCCCGGACTTGTTTCCTCTCAGTCACGGACTAATTCAGTGAAGTCTACATGTGAGCAAAAGACTTTCAAAATCGCTTCACCTCTGACATCAAGTCTTCATGCGCCTAAACCGACACACCGACCCAATCCTGCGTTGCTCGACGATTAAGAGAACTTGCAGTTCCATGTGGAGAAGCTTCTGAAGCGGTGTCGTAACAAAGACCAATACCAGTATCTGGTGAAGTGGCATCATACCCGGAGTCTAAGAACTCGTGGGAGTTTAAGTACCCCTTCGACAAGATCGCCAGTAAGCCGTTCACGTTTTTGAGCGTCTCGCTGAGGGTCAGCTTGCACCCCAATGCGCTCTCCATCAAAGGTGTGGAGTGTATGACTCACTCGTCAAAACAAGTGACCCGCGACTGTCTGCATAGTCGAAAAAGTGGTGATTTGACCAGCAACTGGTGCTGCATACTAGTTGCGATCAAGAAAGCGTAGCTGGCTTTTGGCCTTAAGCTTAGAAATTCACAGCGCAGTTTGCGCTCTAACCAAACGTCGGCCTTGTAGGCATTAGCATTTAGGGAATTCCTGCTGGGCAAGCGACAAACCCGATGAGCCCGGCGAGAAAATGTGTAATCATCTACGTCCTCACATTTGATGGGGTACAAAATGATCGGGACCGTTCGTTGTGTTGGCCCAGAGGCACCACGTGATTTTTCCATTGATGTAAGTTGATACTCAGAGATCGTCTTCGCTCCAGGTGTCAGATATCTTTATCGAGGAGTATCTCGTTCGGCAATGTCGTCTGGCATCGTAGCCTCGCATCCTGTGGGCCAAATTGCCAAGAGCTGCCTTGCGAACTATCGTAAGAACTAATTACGCTTAAGAGCTAGAAGCGATAGTCCGAATGCGTTTCGGCAATACTAAATGTTGGAGATGTACATCTAGATATTTCGTTTTCCTCGATATAGCGTTACTGTTGCTCATCGAGCTTGCTGATGATGATAGCTTCATCATGGATAGTTGAGGCACGCAACGCTGTAAGCGCTTGAGCCGTACTTCGTTCCGGAACTGGGTTTGGCTAAGCGAAAAGGTTCGCACAACGCTGACGAGGCAGGTTCGGGATATTTACCCTCTTCCACGACAGTGTCACTGTCATTATTAACGATGTTCTCTTCTCGTATGATGTCTTCCAAAGATTTGAGGAATGAAAAGACTGTGCCATTGATGCGCAAGGTGTCGTAAACACAACTGTGAGGTTATCGGTTCTCTCCGAGCTATCTCAATGAGAAAAAGGAAGAATGCCGATTCGGGGTATCGACTGTTTGGTGGGGGAGGGTGTTACAAAATTACACAAACGATTGTGAAAACCAGGTGCATTAGTGAGGTACACACAGAAAGAGATCAGTATCACTGACAAGGCGCACTTTTGTGTCACATATGCTAAGCGACTATACCGCACCCTATCTGCTATGGTTGGAGAATATCTGTTATAATATAGGGTATTCATTAAGGCGACGTAGTTCCGGTGTGGTACGTAGAAAGAACTACGATGAGGACTATTCGATTAGGTAGCATAGTTTCAAGGCTAAAGACGTAAGTAAGATTAATTTATCGCTATAAATTAGTAAATGTATTCAGCTCCCCTTTTGATCAGTTTTTAGTTACACGTCTTGTTAAGACGTCTCTGGTCGTAAGAGTTAAGAGCTTGAGTTCAGGATAAGTACTCTTGGGCATTATAAGTGCCACGCAATTCCTTAGATTCATTAGTCCCCTGAACCAGGACTAGAAGCCGAAGAGCTTGTTGAGATACTTAGAATCAAGTCTCACTAAGTGTGCAAGACCTGAGACCCTTTAAGCTAATACCCGTATGATCTGATATACGAAGAGACTCTACGAGTCTAGAAGTCGTCCACTGACAAAGGAGTAACTGGACCTCCGCTTCCTATGTGATGGGGACAGGCCAGATCGCATTTAGCATGTGTAAGCTACACCTAACCGCGGTATTTGCCGACACACACAGATAAGTACGATTGAACAGAGTTCGGTATCTAATCTTGCGCACACTCAGTCACTAATAGCTTCCCCCTCCGGGCTCGCAATTATCCTTAAAACGCTTCATTTTACAAAATTATGGCACAATTGCTGGCACTGTCGCGGGCACGTCAGACGTGGCGAGCTCGACGGTCGCTGCTCATCTCCTCTAGCGCGTTCGCTTCATCTCCTTCTCTTGCACCACCTCTAGCTTCCGTCTCCCCGACAAAAGCTCGTCACCATCCCCATTCCTTTGAGTCCCTTGCGCACACTTTTAGAGCTGTGGAGGTGCGCAATCGTTATGCCGTGCGTCTTTTTATGCAATGTGCTTACCACAACATGCTCTTCAACTGTTTTCCCAATCCGCAGCATGTCAAACAGTCGCGGGTCACCAGCACGCGGGTACTGGCTCAAGGTTATCGTCAACTACTGGCTCTGTCGACGTCACAGGAGCCCCTTGCAAGCGCTTTGTACCTCACTGCGTCGCAACTGGCGCCGCCCTACGAAGGCGTGGAGCTTCAGTTTGGCACCAAGAGTTTTGTGAAGATTTTGAAACAGTTTGAGGTGCACCAGGAAGAAAACGTGGACTCGACGCAGACGCTGGAGCAAGTGCTAGCGTCGTTTTCGGACTATGGACTGGCCATGCAATCGCTACTGGACACTGGGCGTGTGGCTTTGCCTACAATTGAAGAGACAGAAAAGGTGCTCTGTATCCAAACAGTGCATGCAGGGTTAATGGCGATCGCACAGGACGAAGGAGCTGGCAGCAGTGCTAGAAAGCAGCAACGTGCACTAAAGTTGCTTCAGCAGTGCAGGTGAGAATCCACGACTCTGTGGAGGGGCCATTTTGGGCAAGTGTTGACGATGTGTGACTGTTATGTATTCGATGTGTGGTTGAAGGTGCTCCGAGGCACGTGTTTGTCTCGCTCGAATGCTCGCGGTGCGTGATGTTCATTGACTGAGTCGTCCAGACCGTAGTTGTGACTGTGGCTGCTAGTTGCGAATCGACAGCATCAAAATTTGCGCATGGGGATGGGCGAAAAGTCGATCCTCTCGGCTCTTGCAATGGCCAGCACACCGCTAATTAAGGACAATGCTCATGAGCAAGTCGGCGGCGCGCGTCCAGCACAAGAAAAGGAGTGGGTGGACTGCGTGACACAAGCATATGCACAGCACCCGAACTACAGCGTACTGGCTCAGTTAATACATCAGAGCCAGCACGAAAATGACCTTCAGAAGAAGATAAAATGGATGCGCAACAAAACCCTTCCTGCGACGGGTGTTCCGGTGCTGACCATGTCTGCGTACCCAATGTCGAGTGTCGAGGCAGTCCTGGATCGCATTGCTAAGTCAGCAGGTCGCACAGCCACTTGCGAATACAAATACGATGGTGCACGTGTTCAAGTGCACCTATCGCTAGGTGCCGGCAGCCGTAATTGCTCTGTCCGGCGTATTTTCAGCCGCAACATGGAAGACATTACAGCTCGATTCTCCACTCTTCTGGACGCGCTAGAATTGCGTGTGAAAGCTCGCGATGCAGGAGCGGAAGGGTCATCTTCCGCGGAATCACTGATTGTGGAGGGAGAGGTCGTTGCGCTGGATCGAATCACTGGGACTTTTCATCCGTTTCAAGTACTGCAGACAAAAACCACGACCGAATTCTGTTTGTTTTTGTTTGATCTTCTTGCTGTCGATGGCAAGAGTCTTCTACAGGTTTACAGCGAGAAGTTCAGTTTTGGAGTTGTTTGAACGAGGACAATGTGTTTTGACGCTTCTTTGTACCTGATGCTGTAGAAATCTCTGCGCAGTCGACGAGCGTTGTTGCACGATCTTCTTGGCGAAAAAGCTGGTTATGTCGAGTTCGTGAAGTGCGTCGACATTAGCTTAGCATCTGCTGACGAAACCAGGAATCAAGCCGCTCTTGTGCGAAAGTATCTTGCAAAGGCAGTGGCTACTGGCTGTGAGGGATTAATGATAAAGTTGCTGGACGGTGAAGAGTCAGAGTATAAAGCCGGGCGAAGGTCGCACTCCTGGATGAAACTTAAGCATGACTATGTCTTGGACGAATCCACTCATTGCAGTGGAAAACCCACTGTTGCGAACTCCCGTGACAACGGCACATTCCTAGCCGATACGCTAGATTTGGTGCCTATTGGCGCATTCTACGGTAAAGGCAGACGTGCAGGGTTGTTTGGCTCTTTTCTCATGGCAACGTACAACTCCACAAGCGGCAAATTTGAGGTGGGACTGATTCGAAGTTGACCAGGCGTATCGCTTGTGCTTACGTTCCTTGGCGGTGTTCTCTTGTTGTGGCTACCGTAGACTATCGGGAAGGTTGGTACGGGCTTCTCGGACGCTAGTCTGATGGAAGTATCAGCACGCTTTCGGAAAGCGGTTTTGCCCGCAAAAGAGGGCGTGCCAGAGCAATACCGATCCTGCGCCATTCGGAGCTGTCATCCTGACGTATGGGTCGTGCCAGAGGAAGTGTGGGAGATCAAAGCAACTCAACTGACAGAATCATCTTCGTACACGTGTGGCACTGACATGGACACCGACTCTTTCAATGCTGCTGCTTCTCGAAAAGGACTGGCGCTTCGTTTTCCTCGCTTTGTTCGATTTCGGCCGGACAAGAAACCTTTGCAAGCAACAGAGAGCGAGCAAGTCAAGGAGCTTTTTCAGCAGCAGCAATTATAAAATCCATACCGGACAAGTGTCAACGGCTGGCAAGGGATGGAACGTCGAACAGCTGTCCGTGATAATCAGCTATACCCCGGACATGTCCTGCTGGAAACTGCGCCTTCCGCCACGATCATAGTCGTTCGGCATTCAACTTCACTTCGACGGTGCAAGTGTTTGTCTTGCCAGATAGGACTGGTAAATCCGTCAGCGTGGAGCACGCCGTGCTCGCTGGTGCTGCACCCGACGATTTGGCTCTGAGGACAATGTCGAGGATATCTATTGGCGGCTTGCGCGAGTAAACACCACTGAGCCATATAGGTGCACTATGTCGTCGACAGCCACTTAGCCACCAGTGTTGTTGACCGCCAAAGCCTGACTATTCTCCGACGATCACTGATACCATGGTATACACCATGTCTGCGGATGTACACAATTGCGGGCATGCTTTTGCATGGTCGTTGGCCTTGGTGCCTGGTGGTTGTCACGCCTATGACGATACCCGAGTACAAGTCCTTCCTACTGAACAAGTGCGGATACAATGATGACCATCCCAAAAGCGCAACATTTGCGTCCACGTAAACATCATCTTGCAAGCGTCAAAAGACGAATTCTTTTGCTCGGTCGCAGTAGTTCTTGCAGCAAGCAGGTATGGTATCGAGAATAGAAAGAGACAGAAGACGAGCAATTGTCAATCTCAACATCGTCCTGATACCGTATCAAGAAAGTAGAGAAGACGCATGACTGTCATTTCCTCACGACAATTCAATCATCATCTTTGTCAACAAGCGCTAGAGGTCGCCAGCAAACTGTGCTGGCACACGATTTCACGTGTTAATTGACCACCTGAGGCTCATTTCTCTCGATCGATGGATTGTTCCTGCAAATGGCCGTTTCGGTAGCTCACCAGCCGAACAAACGTTGGAATCAGACCCGCAAGTCTCTCGTGACCCCACGGGTTTGCGGACCGGATCCACGTCCAGCCAGCCAGTCAATTCCTCGAAACAACTTGCTATTCACTTGAACTCGATGCACCTACTGCGCAGTCGCTTAGTTGCCCACGGGTACATCTATGACCGCATCACGAGGCCATCGATTGCTCGTGGGGTCTCTACAATACAGAGAAGTGAGCAAACCGTGGTGGTGGTGGGGCAGGAGGAGGGGGACAAACGCCTTACAAAAGTAGCAGAGCTCGTACATGAACAGGCAGTGCACGTCACGTTCAAAGACGGCGCCACTGCCAAGTTCCACAAGCTGTGGCTGCGTGATCATTGCTGCTGTGAGCACTGCAGGCACCCAAAGACGCGCCAACGTCAGGTGGACACAGCTTCCATTCCAATGAACTCGCCGTTCCATCGGTGTGAGGTTACAAATGCTGGCAAAGCTCTGGTCATTGATTGGGACGCGTCTGTACGCGGTAGTCCTTGCACAGCCAGTACGTTCGAAGCCGAGTGGCTACGCACCCATGCATATGCACTAGAAGGAGGAAATGCCGAGGACTCGGCAACGGTGCCGTACCCAGTGTCGTATCGACAGCCACGTCTGACAACGAAGAAGTTGTGGGCTGGAGACGACTTTCGGCTGCCTACACACGCTTACAAAGCGTGCGTGGACGACATTGAGCCGGTTATGCGAGATCTCTATTCCTACGGTCTCGTGCGGGTTGCTGACTCGCCTAGCTCAATGGAGGACACGGAGAAGCTGGCAACAAAGATGGGGTTCGTGTTGCGCACAATCTATGGCACCATGTGGACAACGAGACCGACAGAGGAGGCAGAGACTTATAACGACACGGCGTCTTCGGACCAAGAGCTGCTTCACCACACAGACGGCACGTATATGCGCGAACCGCCTGGGCTGCAGATCTTCAATTGTATGGCTCAGGCCGGTACAGGTGGCGAGAGTCGCTATGTGGATTCCTTTCACGTAGCTGAGACGCTGCGAGCAGAGGACCCAAAAGCCTTTCGAGTGCTCAGTACGACGATGCTGCCCTACTTCACTGTGGACAACGACGCCCACTTGGCTACTATGGAGCCGCTTATCCGTGTTGACTGGGCTGGCAACATCGTTCAGTTCCGGCACAATGACTATGACCGCGCACCGCTGACACACTTGAGTTTTGCTGAGGTGGGCGAGTTTTACAAGGCCCATCGCAAGCTACTCGAGATCATGCGTCGTTCAGGGATGGAGTTCTGCACGAAACTGCAGGTCGGTGACACGATGATCGTGGACAACCAGCGCGTGACACATGGCCGCTACGCATTTCACGGCGGTGATCGCGCTCTCATCGGGTGCTACATTGGCCAAACGGAATATGAGAGCCGCTTACGGGTTTTGGGCATCATATAGCTGACGCGGGTGACAATGTGTTATATTGTTGCTACGTGTCGCTACTAGTAATAGAACAGTCGAGCAAGTTGTAGCATCTTCACAAGTACATTTGTTACCCTAAACTATTAGAAAGGCGAGTCATCCCCCCTATTTACGCGCTCTTTCGCATCGTTAGTGCTACAGGTCCGTTGTTTGTATAAGTGTGAACTGGTATCCTCACACTTACTACTGTCAACAGTGTCGATCGCACAATAACAAAGTCGTCGCGACTACCACGCGATCACAATAGATCTTAATGCCACTCGTCGATCGCTAGTTGCCACACGACGTCTTCGAAACGTGGACGACGTGATAGGCCAGAGTGCTTCGAAGAATTACGACATAAGGGTGGGCATTCTACAGGAATAGGTGAGGTGACAGCACAATACAACACTGTCTGGAATGCCAGCGCTAGAAAGAGCACAAGTGTACAGCTAACCAGCAAAATATGCCAACCGTGGACACATCTGTCATAACTACTTCTCAAACGTGGCCTTCGTTTTTTAGTACTTTGGGTGCAGATCAGCACGTGCAAATTAAACCTAGTTGTCATGCATACTGTAACGTCGGGTGACGGAAAGAAAAGCGAATATTGTGCACCATGTCACGATTGCGCAATAGCCGGGATCGCCGAAATTTGCGACTCGGAGGATTCCTGTTTTATAGTATGGGTGTCGTTTATGGGGTAATTAAGGAAAGAGTGAGGTGAAATTGACAATATCCATTTTAATTTTCACTTATTTAGGGCATTTTTAAGTTTCGTAGTTCAATGAGGCCTTTTGGGGAACGCAAAACCGCCGGGTGGGACAGACTATTCAGCTGGTATCGGTGGCCGGTAGAGAGGTTTTGGCCAATCAAAATCCTGCTCCGAGCTTTCAAACCAAAATAAATCCTCTTTTCTAGCTGTGCGCATTTAGAGTGGGACAGGGAGGAGATGGGCGGACAACGGCAGGTATCACAAACATGATTGATTCCATTGACCTCTCAGGTGTTATATATTATCTCGGAGAGAGGTAAGCCATGAACCGCACAAACGTTAGCCATCATTCTTCCACACTTTTATCGAAAAGATAGACATTCAAATTAGCCAGTCAAAACGAATCAAAAGAATACTATCCGCATAATTCTGAGTGATGCCAGTAGCGCCGGCGTCGACACTCAAATCATGGCTGCTGCATTCGGGCACGCTCCAAGCGTTATGTACTGGTCCACGCTCTCTTCAGGACTTGCGGCGCTACGTCCGTGCACGAACAAGAATCTAACCGATCTGGTGACACACCCGTGGCTTTACCTTTGACTCCACTAGACTCTCAAGCAAGGCTAGCGGACCGATCACCCCTCTGCAAGCCACGGGTGTGTCATTTTGATATATCAAATTTGGCCAATCAAGATCGAGAATCCCGTCGCCTTCAACATGGGACGGAACAATGAGGATGAGTACATCACGCACACAATCGTGACGTGCCAAGAAAGTGCGACCGCACCAGCTGACGTCGCCAAGATGAACGTCAAACGCTTTCGCGGAGGATCCGTGAAGGACTGGCTTGCGTGGAGCATGAAGTTCAAGAGTCTCGCAAAAGGAAAGGCTGGGGTGCTGACCAATTCAACGTTTAACTGATCACGCTGATAGACGGCGATCTATCGCGCGAGGTCGAGCGCATCGCCAGCGAATCTTCCGATAAAGGACGTACGTTCGAAGACTTATACCGTGAGATCGGCTTACTCCTTGTTCCAACGGACTACAGTGAAGACCTGGATGAGGAGCTCTGGAACCTGACCAAGCGCCGCGACGAACAGTTCAACGCTGTTCGGCACGTCTCCGAGAGCTTGCTCAAATGTACTCCGAGTTGCCCCAGGATGCGCAAACCATCTGGGAGGTTCAACTCTGTCGCTACTTTCGCCGAGCTATGCCTCCAAACTGGCAAGACAAGCTTGCGTTTTGTGAAATCTCCACCGGAACCATAACAGAACTTGCGATGTACTTTGAGCGCCTCGAAAGGCGCGAAAGGCAGAATGGCCGGGATCGCCAGAATGGTCAGGGAACACATGGCGAATGGAGCCAAGGTCGGCGCGACCAGCAACGCTCGTTCAACGCCCGCTATGACCGCGGAGATCGACGCAACCAACGCGAATATCGTGACTCACACGAGAATCGTCCTCACAAACGGACTGTGACAGATGACAAAAAGAAAAACGAGCGCCATGATGATAATGATATGTGGTGCAAGTTCCACAAAACAAAGTCTCACAACTCCAGCGAGTGCATCGCCCTCAAGAAGCAGCGCGAGGAGCACAAGCCCGCTGAGATTAAGACAACAGTCCCGAGCAAAAAAAAGTATCCCAAATTTAAAGAAGAGTCAAGCGACGTCTACAGCAACAGCGTGCTCAAGCTTGAAGGCCTGGTCGCCAAGAAGCAAAACAGCACCAAGCTTGCTCCGTTGCGCATCAAGGATAAGCTTTAGAACGCTAACGGCACCTTCGATGCGCTACTAGATAGTGATGCGTCATTGAGCATCATTAACCAGAAGACTATACAGGCCGATTTCCAGCTCGGGCGTAAATAAGTCGCATCGACGACCAAATTTTAGAGAGTAAATGGCGAGGTGACGAGTGATGGCAGTGCCGTCGTTCAATTCCGATTTGCATTCCTTAATCCTTCGGCCATCATTACTCACAGGTTCGAAATTTTGGAGAAGAGCCAAGATGCTGTGGCGATTGGTCGTGACATCATGACTTTGTTGGCAATTGTGCTTGATTTCAAAGAATATATTCTTAGTGGGATGGTCACTACGTGCACCTAAATACCGGTGGGTCACAGTCTTTCGAGGTGAGCGATTTACGAGTTCCTCGAAGAAATCAACGAAATCGCTGAAAGTGCGGTGCGCTTGGAAGAACTCATGCCCGCCAAACTAACCAATTCTCTTGTCGACAAATGTCACCAGCTTCTTCGTAATAACAAGAGCTTGTACGACGGTCACTTCGAAAGGATGAGATTCGATAATTACTAGATACCTATCTCGCCTGACTACAAGCCTGTTCACGCCAAGCCATTTCATGTCCCACATTGCCTCGAAGGAAAGGCGCAAGAGCTAATTCAGCCTTTAATTAGCATCGACGTGCTGGAGAAGATATATAATTCGGAAATGGCATCGCCAGCCTCCTTCCTGAAAGACCAACGGTTCACTTTGTCTTCTGATCGACTTTCATGGGCTCAATCGGTATTTGCGACGCAGCCCATACTGTGTCCCACGTATTCTTAACGGCGAAAGCAGCGTAGTGTATGGTCTTCTTTCAGTCAACTCCATCGTGGCAGCAAATTACAATCGAAAATTCCAGGTGAGTGCGTTTACAAATCGCGTTCGCTGGTGGGTTATTGCTTGTAATGGGCTTGAACTAGATTTCGTAGCTGCGTAGCATCTCTTGAAACTCCGTCCCTTGGTCATGGATGACTTTCACCGGACGTGGGTATCTGCAAAGCCTTTCACGATCGAAGCTCTGGGCTGTGGTTGAATAACTTTAATTGGGCTGGATACCTACTTTCAGCCAACGCGTGGCGTGATCGACCATTGTGATACCATAGTATCCATCTTCGTAGGGACCAATTAGATTAACATGAACAATGTCGAATAGGGTCCACTGTTTGAGTGTCCGAGGTGGCAACAATCCGTAATCTTGCTTGCCGCCATGTGCCTTGTCCCTCTTGCAAACGAGACAATGCTTCGTCTTCTTGTTTATCGCGGCTTCCATGCCGGGCCAGTACAGCACCTGTCTCCTCGTCTTGTACTGGTATTTACTGCCAGGGTGGATAAGACTCAGATGGTACCAATCGATTAAGTCATCGCGCAGGCTGTCGGGTACAATGACGCACTTTTGGTACGCAACCAGCGTGTAGCCGAGTAGAGGTAGAAGCTGATAGTCGGGGTTGTTGCTGCCTTTGAGACATGAAGTCTTGATCTTCTGGATTGTGGCATCTTTATCTTGGTTATCGCGTAGGACAGGACCATGCATGACACATTCTGGCTCATTGGTCGTCGAACACACCTCCTCCGCAAGCTGAAACTTAGGTGCTGTCGCTAAGTTGTCAAAGCGCATCCACGAAAAAGCGTCAGCACCAACATTTTGGCCCCCTTGATGTAGTGAATTCAGAGGCGGTATTACGAGGGGAGAAGCTTTTGACGCTTGGCTCGCAGGCTGGTTTTGGTAGGATAGATGAGGTTTTTGTGGTCGGTGTGAACGACCACGGGAAAACTGAGTAACATGGTGCGGTATTCGCGCAAATTTTCCACAATCTAAAGAAGCTCGAGTTTCGTTGTAGTGTAGTTTACTAGGTGCTTGTTTAGACTTCTCGAGTAGCATGCAAGAATCTGACATCTCTTTATTATGATGCCGCCGATGTGCTTGCCTCTGAGGTCAGTTTCAATGTAAATTGGTGGCTCAAAATCGAGAAACGCGAGCAGGACCGCTTGCGCAAACGCTTTCTGTTCAGCGTGAAATGCTTTCGTGTCGCTGGGTAGTCATTTGAACGGAACTTTGGCGCTGGTAAAGCGGTTGTGTGGCTGACATATTGTCGTCTTGTTCGATACCATGTCCATGTAGTAAATAATCATCCCGAGAAAGCGGCGTAGTTCCTTCCTGGTCTTGGGTACGGCGATCTGTTGGATTGGTTAAAACTTCGTCTGCTGGTGCTGAATCCTCTCGGATTTAAGCGTGATTCTGGAATAGTTAACAGACTCGCGCAGAAGTGGCATTTCTTGCCGTTGATAGTAACATCATACTTCTGCGGACGCTTGAACACGATACTTAGGTGCTTGAGATGTGTCTTCTCGCTACCAGAGTCAACGAGAATATCGTCCAGATAAACGACGACAAATTCCAGGTCACCAAATATCTTTTTCATGCACGCTTGATATTCGTCCGGCGCCGTAGAATTCCTAAAGGAAGCCGCTTACACTCAAACTTCCCGAAAGGTAAGCAGAAATCAGTGCAGTTACGGCTTGACTTAGCGAGACGACGCGCGTAGTATCCCATGTTTGCATTTAGCGTAGAGAGACACTATGCTCCCGTTAGAAGTAACAAAAATAGGTTTAGCACGAAATTGCTTGGGAACCCGTAGCATCACGTGGTCACTGGGATTGTAGAAATGCTCGAGTCGCTTGACTCTTCTTCAAATTTGGGATACTTTTTTTGCTCGGGACTGTTGTCTTAATCTCAGCGGGCTTGTGCTCCTCGCGCTGCTTCTTGAGGGCGAAGCACTCGCTGGAGTTGTGAGACTTTGTTTTGTGGAACTTGCACCACATATCATTATCATCATGGCGCTCGTTTTTCTTTTTGTCATCTGTCACAGTCCGTTTGTGAGGACGATTCTCGTGTGAGTCACGATATTCGCGTTGGTTGCGTCGATCTCCGCGGTCATAGCGGGCGTTGAACGAGCGTTGCTGGTCGCGCCGACCTTGGCTCCATTCGCCATGTGTTCCCTGACCATTCTGGCGATCCCGGCCATTCTGCCTTTCGCGCCTTTCGAGGCGCTCAAAGTACATCGCAAGTTCTGTTATGGTTCCGGTGGAGATTTCACAAAACGCAAGCTTGTCTTGCCAGTTTGGAGGCATAGCTCGGCGAAAGTAGCGACAGAGTTGAACCTCCCAGATGGTTTGCGCATCCTGGGGCAACTCGGAGTACATTTGAGCAAGCTCTCGGAGACGTGCCGAACAGCGTTGAACTGTTCGTCGCGGCGCTTGGTCAGGTTCCAGAGCTCCTCATCCAGGTCTTCACTGTAGTCCGTTGGAACAAGGAGTAAGCCGATCTCACGGTATAAGTCTTCGAACGTACGTCCTTTATCGGAAGATTCGCTGGCGATGCGCTCGACCTCGCGCGATAGATCGCCGTCTATCAGCGTGATCAGTTAAACGTTGAATTGGTCAGCACCCCAGCCTTTCCTTTTTGCGAGACTCTTGAACTTCATGCTCCACGCAAGCCAGTCCTTCACGGATCCTCCGCGAAAGCGTTTGACGTTCATCTTGGCGACGTCAGCTGGTGCGGTCGCACTTTCTTGGCACGTCACGATTGTGTGCGTGATGTACTCATCCTCATTGTTCCGTCCCATGTTGAAGGCGACGGGATTCTCGATCTTGATTGGCCAAATTTGATATATCAAAATGACACACCCGTGGCTTGCAGAGGGGTGATCGGTCCGCTAGCCTTGCTTGAGAGTCTAGTGGAGTCAAAGGTAAAGCCACGGGTGTGTCACCAGATCGGTTAGATTCTTGTTCGTGCACGGACGTAGCGCCGCAAGTCCTGAAGAGAGCGTGGACCAGTACATAACGCTTGGAGCGTGCCCGAATGCAGCAGCCATGATTTGAGTGTCGACGCCGGCGCTACTGGCATCACTCAGAATTATGCGGATAGTATTCTTTTGATTCGTTTTGACTGGCTAATTTGAATGTCTATCTTTTCGATAAAAGTGTGGAAGAATGATGGCTAACGTTTGTGCGGTTCATGGCTTACCTCTCTCCGAGATAATATATAACACCTGAGAGGTCAATGGAATCAATCATGTTTGTGATACCTGCCGTTGCCCGCCCATCTCCTCCCTGTCCCACTCTAAATGCGCACAGCTAGAAAAGAGGATTTATTTTGGTTTGAAAGCTCGGAGCAGGATTTTGATTGGCCAAAACCTCTCTACCGGCCACCGATACCAGCTGAATAGTCTGTCCCACCCGGCGGTTCAGCGTCTCCCCATTTGCTGATTATTTCTGCAAATGCGGCGGACGAAAAAAAGTGCAATCGGCTGCATTCGTAACCCTTCCTGATATCCTGCGTCATAGTCGCAGCGTTACGCGGCTAGGTTCCATCTAAGATCCTCATCATTTGTGTCAGTGCAGCTGGAATTGCTGCCGCGGTCATTGTATGCAAAGCTTGCCGTACTATCACTCGTGCTGAATGCAAATTATGGTAAAAAACATAAATCAAACTAATACTATCCACCACAGCGACCTGCGCGTCTTTACATCAACACCACACTCCACATTCCTAGCGCAAAAAAGCACCACGAATCGATAAAGACAGGAAACTCTTGATTATTTTACTTGAAGTCACATCAAGTAACGAGCTGACCAATTGACTAGCTGTTACTTACAGCAAATAACATCGGTCTGCCCGTCGTTCAGTAGAACTTCATTCTCCTTTTTCTGTAGTATAAAATAAAATATTGAGCGCGTTGTGCCGTCGATACTATTGCCTCCCCTCTTGTCGTCTTTTCGCCCTGCAGTAGATAGTTGCGTCTGTTCTTCAACTTTCAGAGCATCTGTAGCGAAGGCAATATCTTGTCAGTCAGCTGGCGCCTGCCTCAGTCGACTCTACGCATTGGCACGAAATAAAAACCTGAGGACTTCAGTGATCGGGCGATCTGCTTTGTGCTCGTGGACGTGAGAAACGGGCAAAGCCAAAAAAAAAGGACGAGTCTTGCATGCGTCACATATTACCTGATGCATTTTATCAAAGACATGGACAACGCTGTTTCCAGGATCTCGCGCTTTACAGGTAAGGAGCAAAAATGAAGCAATGCTAGCAACACGCTCGGACGAATCCGCGCGCAGGCTGTACAACCCAATGGTTGACCGGTTTGCTATTCCTTTGAATTTCGTCGATTACGATGAAGTGAGCGGATACGATCCAATATAAAGAAAAGAGAAGGTTTGCCACGTACGTGTGTCTCTATAACAACTTACGCCGCTCACATCATCCGAAAACGTCAACTGGAAGCTGAAATCTACTGACTCGGTTGATAATAGCTAGTTGCGATGCTGGTGTTGAACACATCCGGTCTTTGGAGCTGAGTCTTTCTACGATTTAAATTCCGTCACCAAGGATGCTGCTAGATTTCTTTCTTGGAGCCGTTTTAGCTGGACTGACGCACATCCTGTGATAGCAATTGGCTCGGTCGCACACACCTCGTCCTTTTGTGGGAACCTCTGTTGCAATTTCTCCTCCATCTCGTGTAGTTGCCAGCAAGAACCCAATCAATGACTACGACGATACGGGTCCCTGGCAGGATCCGAGTTGGCCAGACAAAACACGGCACTTCGTGCATCATTGGGCCTCTGTAATTTTCTCGACTATCTTGCACTATTGAGCACTCTATGGCTCGCCCATACGATACGATGGTTGATAGTATCGTACCTGACTGAGCAAACACACCTCGCAACGATTGTGTTGCACGCTCGAGGCTCGTCTGTGAAGCCCAAATGCACCAGCTACGACCACCTGGAAGCAGCAAGTTGCATAACAAACCACTCGAATAAAGCTGCAGCTCAAGGTACTTGCTGCCGACCATCTCTGCTACTGATCGCGGTAGTCTGTAGTCTTCTTGCTAATCGAGAGACGCTACCAGTTGAGTGCTCAGGGCGCATACCGCGCACACCTTTTCTTCAGTTGAGCAATCAAGCGCGACGGTATCTCTCCTACCAGGATCGAATGCAACATGAAGCCCAGGCGCTTCCTCCAATCCATTCAATTGCTACCGTCTGCACTCCCTGTTGTCAGTCGACTCGTACCGCACATTGTAAACGTCGTGCCGATTCCGCTGCTACATCGTTTTTCGCGCAAGTAGGCGCCACGCTTGCGTACATGTGTAGCAACTTGTTCATGCAGTCGCTATCGTTCTCTGGACTTCGTTCACGTCGGAAACGTCACCTGATGGTCGCTCGATGCAACAACGTGTCGAAAGTGCTGACCGCATGGTTCAGCGCCCCATCTGCTCGTCGAGTTCGTGCATCCGTCCAGGTCAGTACGAACTCCTCGAAGTGCAGCGGTCTCTCTAATAATGCAGTCACAGTCACACATGCATGCGACCGACCGAAATCGTCCGAGTCATCTCGCTCCCTACCTAGACACAGTAGATAGTCAAAGCAAGCTTTCAACTGTGCTACCAAGTCTTTGAACCAGCTCGCAGGAATCCTCACTTTGAACTTCAGGATGCTACGACGGGCGCGTGTTGACCACCCAGAACGATCTGTTTCGAGTCTATCTATCTATCTATCTGGCTGTCTGGCTGGCTGTCCGTCTATCTGACTACCTGACTATCTGGCTGACTGTCTCTTGTGCCAAGGCAGAGGAGGAATCGTCACAAGTGGTCAAGGACGATCACTCAACACGTTTTTTCAGTCTCCGATCCGCCACTTAGGGGACAAGCGACCGCGTGAGGGACTGCCGAGACAGGAGGCAGCAACGATTTGGGCCTTCCACACGCTCTTCGCCTCTCCTTCGTCGTCTCGGTCGAGAATGAACACGTGCGAGGTGCAAACGGTCCAGAGTCTACGGCTCGCCGACCACATCTGCATCTGGGACACGACCCGCTGGCCCTTCCGATACACGCACCACGGCATCGTGTACACGACCGGAGCGACCATCGAGACCATTTTTGTGGCTCACGTCTGGTCCCGTAAAACGGGGTTCCGGGCGGGTCAGGCGGACTCGAAGTTCCAGATCACGAGTCTTGGCGAGTTCCTGAATAAGCGGCCGCTGCTGGACATGCGCCGGGTGCAGTACAATTCGTCGCTCGTGGGGGAGGCGAGTTCGCGACTGGGAGAAGTGCATCGGACGCACGCAGACGCGCCACCGGTTGTGCTCGCGCGCTGTCGCTTCTTGTTGGGGCTTGGCCAGGGTCATTTCAGTATTTTGTCGCTCAATTGCGAGCACGTGGCGCTCTGGTGTACGACAGGTGTGGGCTGGTCCAAGCAAGTGCTGTCTCGGTCGGAGACTAAAGTGCCGTTCTTAACGTCGTCGACCAAGTCGATTCAAGCACTGGAGCGACTGGAGATGCAGGTACAGGGGATTCGGGAAGCTGCAATGGAGAAGAATCGGCAGCTGGAAACTCTGCGAGGGAAGCGCGTGTATTTGCGTCTGAAAGGCACGGGGAAGTTTGCGAAAAGGTTAGGCGACGAACTGTACTTGGTGCAGGATGATCCGAGCGAGAAGGACTGGGCTTTTCGTCAGCAACCGACATCGTTGAGACTGGCTGTCCGCGTCTCGGCGTACAACTGCGTGCGGGTAGAGTTTCAAGACTATGACAAGCCTCGAGATGTGCTGTATGCGAGCTCGAGCGGATTGAAACTTATACAACGCAGGACCATGCAGTTTAAGCGCTGGTTTCAGTTTGACTTTGGATGGGAAGGAGAATTGCAGAGTCTGCGTCATCGTCGGTGGTTCGTCGGAGCGCAGACTCGCAACGGCCTTCTGTGCCCGTTCATCTCGCGGGACAAGGCTGCTGCGTTTGAGATTATTGACGCTGACGTAATGGACGAGGTGAGTCCAGTAATCAAGCCTTCGTTTTGCGACTCGGAGGTCGGCGATTCTTTTGTTATTCCTGTCATGGAAAGAGCAGAGTCGGAGCCCGAGTTGATTATTGATGACGACGGAGACGGAGAAGACGAGGGAGATTTTACTTGATCCGAAGAAATGGTCGGCTGCAATCACGCCCAACGAGCAGTTGGGCGGATATCATTTTATTGTGCGATGACATTTAATGTCATGCCCAGCCACTACCTTCCGCACCGATTTTTAAATGTGCATAGTATGGGTCTTTCGTGCGTATATCATTAGCGAGTGCTAGTCTGTGGATCTGGACTATAGTCAGCGTGGGGTAGTAGTACAAGTCAAGATTGGAGTATTCTTGCAGCATAAACTCTAGCCCACATCATTCGTCATCGCACTAAATCTCAGAAAGCAGTAGTAGTTATTGCTGAGCGAAACGGACGAGTCAACCCGAGCTGCCCGCTGTATGTTAGCAAGAACCCTCTTGAATTACAACAATTCGTGCCTCGCAAGTCCAAGCGACAATCGTTTCATGCGATATTGAAGCCATGCCATGGAGAACAGTTGACGTATCAAGATCAGCATGGCAGTCATGGGGAATGCTGCTTTTTCTCTTTAATATTCGAGAGTTGTTGAAAGGAGAGCTCAGCAATTTAGAACCTTTTGCAAGCTCAATATCGTAGCTGTAGCAGCCCTGTGTTTGTCGAGTGTCTAGTAGTCCCTAAAAAAGAAAGTCTTAGTTCGATGGCGTTTCCAGGCGAGTGCTGAAGCTTTACAAAAATTCAACAATCCTACATTTGCATCACTTGCTAAGACCAATTCAAGCAGCCACCTGTTTGCAAATGATCGTCTCGCCCTATGCGTCACTCGTTTACTAAGTGATCGGTCACATTCGTTATCCATTTTGTACCGTGGTGCCCTCTACTAGAAAAATACGCCGACGGACCTACGACATTTTAATGAATCACGAATGGCCAGCCATAAAAAGCGGTCTGGCCGAATTCACTAACCATAATTGACTCCATTCTCGGGGTCTGCCGTGTTCAACCATACCGTGCGCATAATAAAAGGTCGTCCCATGTGGTAATTCCTCCTGTGGACGTTGAAGAGAACGTCCCATTCAATTAAATGACATACGAGCCACTATTAATCTTCGTGCCGATGTCATCGCAACTTCACTTAAGTGCACTGGACAACGATTCAACTCAAGCTCTTTCGACAAATGCGATCATTTCAACTCGGTGTCCGCAATTTTGCAGCAACTAGAAAATTTAAGCTGAGTCATTTGAAGTCCACTTGAGCTCGTGTCAGTGGAGTTGGAAGCAGAGCGTGACGCTCTACAGCAAAGGATCAATCCACTGTTTACACGTGAAAACACAGCGTCAAAAAAGCTTCAATCAACACATCCGAGGAGCAGCTAGCTCGATGACGAGATCGTCCTGTCAGGACCGATGCGTAGGAAAGCCGATGACACCACGTTGGAGCAGACAGCATCGCTATACCAAGGGGGATGAGTAGTTGGTGGTCAAAGTCACATAGAACGGTAAAAAGGTCTTGCGAATACTTTTGCATTCCAATCGCCAGCATGGCCGTCGACATTTTGACGCCCGAGAACGAAGCAGCCTTGTCATCACTATCATCGCCCTTGTCAAGTCTAAAGTGTACATATTGCCGTGCCTTTCGACGTACAACATCTTGCCTCTCAATCCAATGATCGTTGTCGCTTTCTCTGCGACCTCCGCAAAAGTCGTTCTGGGTCTGTTGCGTCTTCTCTCTGCACCATCGCCTTTTTCACATCCGTAGAGAGCGGCTTTATAACCGCATCGTTTCGCTTCCGCTTCGTAACGGACAACGCAGCCTTTTTGGCCTTGGCACACAAAGGCGAGGCAGGTGCGTCACTGTCACGTGCTTCAGCATATAGACACAATTGAACACGCTGTGATGTCCAAACTGTATCAGCTTTCACCTCATTCTCGTCTTTTGTTGCAGCTTTATCCTCGTTCAGCCATTTCGCCTTCGCGCGAAGCTCTTCGGCGAACCGAAGAAAGTGCGGTAGCGTATACTTGCGGGGACCGATTATTCCTGCACATTCAACCACAAGTTGTTCCGCTAAAAATCACATTCTCGACCAGATCCGCTTTGCAACGCACCGGCAATCGCTTCCAATGCTTCATCCGCCATAAATGGCACGCTCCCATCGTACGCTGCGAGGACCGCCGACGCCGTAGCTGGTCCAACCTAAACACGCAACACCGCTGCCGTCATCAAAATAAAAAGAGGTTTCTTCATCTTCCTCTACCAAGAGACACGAAATGTCGTTTCGCATGTGCTGCCGTACGCCTTTGAGCACGCACAGCGCTTCTGTCGCAGCACGTAGATCCCCGCTCTTCAGTTGACGGAAGGCATCACGTGAGGCCTCCACCACCTCGTGGTTGCTCAGTCCCGATACAAACTTGAGCAGCTGCGGTCGCCTACACCATTTCCAGCAGATGCAGAATCAAGCAGTGGCTAAGTTCTTGGAGCACGTCTACGACCTTCTCGGAAGACGGTAACCACGCACCATTTGCCCTTCGTGAGCTTCCACTTCATCACCCGTTGAAGCTCTTGCGCTGTCACGTATGGCAAAGGCTCTCGTGTCCGCACAATTGATGGAAAAGAGGTCAGGTACCACTCATCCAGATCCACCAGCTCCCTATTCTATACGCAGACACTTGAGTCAGTTAATGCAGCAGAGCACAAGTGCAGCGAAGAGCAAGATCGGATCGATCTGTCTACATTGTTGATGACTATAGGCCTTTTTCTACCGGTATCGACTGCACGATAGCGTCGTAGCGCGGCCAGAGCGCGGCCCACGGCGCTTCGCTCGACGAGCTCCAGAGCATTGGCTCGGCTCTACTTAATGTGGGACACACAAACACAGCACACACCGACGAGCGACGTCATCGTTTCCGAACAGTCGTCAGCTGTATTTTAGCGTAGGGTTGTAATGACGCTTGAGCCAATCGCGCTCGATCTCTTTTACCCTACCCTCGCCCGGGAGTCATACCGTCTACATACGAATGATGTTTACACCTCGCACGTAGTCAAAGCTAAATTAAAAAAGCCAGCAAGTAACATCGCAATCAACCAATCACAAGCATGCAGAAGGTCGCTTTGTTTTTCCCCCTCCCTGGCTCGTCTCCCGTTTGCTTTTTCGTGCCACGTTGAAAATTTGCTTTTTTCGTCAGGTCGAATCGATCAGGGCGTCGTTGTTGCTTGGGCGATGCCTGTCCCGCGTGCGTGACCCGTTAAGTCCGATTTTTCGCGCCCTCCACGCTCGACGCCAGTTCCAATCTAGCCACCACTTGGACTCTAGCACAAGGGCGAGGGAGCGATGGACGACAAAGAGGCTGCGAAGGCCAAGCTGCTGATTGCCACGCTGCAAAAGTACGGCTACGACCTGGAAGACCCGACGCGCACGAGCTCCACCACAAGCACGGACTCGAGCAACAGCCTGAACGAGTGGAGTCCCGACGACGACGTGGACGCCGCTGCTCGTCGCGTCAGCGTCACGTCGTCGGCTGGGATCTTGGCCTTGCGGGACCGCAAGAACCAGCAGAGCGCGCTGCATATTGCGGCCAAGAAGGGGCATTTTGACGTGCTGCGCGCGCTGGCGAAGCTCCCGCGCCTGTCGGAGCACGTGAACGCAGGCGATCGACACTGCAACACAGCGCTGCACTTTGCAGCGAGCAGTACGCGGTCCAGTGCGCCGTCACTGGTGGAGCTCCTGCTGAACTTGGGGGCCACGCCAGCAGCAGTGAACGTCCGTGGGCAGACGCCGCTGGCGATCCACATTATGACGGCCAAGCCCGAGACGCCCGTGACTATTACCAAGCTCATTATCAACAAGTTCCGACAGCTGAGCTCGTCGACGTCTGCTTCTCCGCCATCACCAACGGATTTGCGGACTTTGGCGCCCTGTGCGACGCTGAACGAGCTCGTGAACGGCACGACGTACTTGCACATGGCTGTGGACCGTCAATTGGGTGACATTGGTGGCGCGTTGGTACAGGGTGGTGCTTCGATTAACGTGCCGGACCAGAATGGCGTCATGGTAAGCGACACGATCCCGAAGAAACTACTGGTCAAGCTCATTACGTTCATGACCGAGGGCTCACAAATCGCGCCGTCGGATATTGTGCGCGGCAGTTGCAAGATCTGTCGCAATCCAAAGAGCTTGTTGGACCCGTTGAAAGACTGCATCTTGTGCGGCCGCGCGGTCTGCAAGAACTGCTCGGAGAAGGCGTCCGAGATCCGCAAATCCACGTCCGACGGTAGCCATACGGCGCTCAAGGACAAGGATGAAGGTCGATTCTGCGCTGTGTGCTGCACGGTCAAGATTCTGAAAAGCAAAAAGCACAATGAGCGCGAGAACTTTAACAAGAAGCTCATGGGCTGCAACATGAAATAGACTCGTGAGCACCACGTGACGTGACGTGACGCGCGCTTCGTGGCAGCACTTACGTAACGGGAGAACGTGTTGATATTGTCTTGTTTTGTCACGCCTGTGTCTTGTTTGCGCTGCGTCCGTGCACTTGTCGTTGTCAAACATGACTGCCATTTCCACGATCATATCAGCCCACGAGCGCATTGTACGACAGGTAGGTGAGTGAAGCTGCCGAGAAGATGCCACCCATGTAGGCAAAAATAAGTGCCAGTCGCGGCGAGTAGTAAGCGTCGCGTTCCACAAGATACCCACGCGCTATTTCGTACAGGAAGAGTCCAGGAACGGTGATTGCCAGTGAAATGCCCGACACGGATCCGACAAAAGCCATGACAGTGCCTAAACTACGCGAGAATAGCGAGAGCAAATGTGCGACAAACAGGAAGACGACCGTAATTGCCGTTCGGAATGGTAGACTCTTGCGGTCGTGGCCTAAACAGCAGAGTTCCGCGAGTTGACGCAGCGGCTGGAATGTCATTGGCGTCTTGAGCACCATGCCGATACCAAGCGCAAGACGTGCACCGTTAATGAGATGGTCATCTGCTGCGAACCCCGTTAGGATATTGCTCGGTGGTTTTCCACGGAAACACACATAGCCTAAAAAGGCAAAGAAGAGATAGATGCAGAGTCCCCATGCCACCAGTGCCTTGTGGACGAGTGTCATCTGCGTCTTGTCACGAATCTCCTGGTACGCACGTGGTACGTTCAGCTGGCACACGAAACTCAGCATGACAATGGGAAGCGCATACGCCAGCGCTGCAAACTCGGAATCAAACTCGTCTGCTGGATTTCTCGGAATGTGTGCAGCAAACTCGGGATCTCTAGACATCGTCCGGATACCGATCGCCACAAGGATGTAGAGTAGACACAGCAGTACTGCAATGTTGGCGAACCGGAGCGCGTAGATGGTGTCCGGCAGACACAAGGGGATAGCCACGAGCAAGAAGAGCAGACCAATGGTTTGACGAGTCAGAACGTCCACTAGAAAAGGCTCAAAGAGGTCCATAGCAATCACCATGTAGCTCACAATAGCGCCGAACAATAGCGCGAGCGTTAGTAGCCGCACGGCCCACACACCTGCAGCTCCAAAGAGACGAGAGCTCAGCGCCTCGTACGAGTACGCACCCGTCGCGGCACAGCTCACAGTGAGCATCTCACAGGCACGAAACGCCATCCACGCACTCATGACGAGCAGAAACAGAGCCGGGACGGGACCTGCTGCTTGGACGATGCCTGGGAGAGTCAGGATACAGGCTCCTGTCATGGTCGTGGCGAGACCGAGGAAAGACGAGAAGGCGGAACCTTTTTCCGTCTGGCTGGATGCGTGAGAGAGGAAGGTCTTGGGAACGGACGAGGCGGTGGGACCCAACGGTGACGGACTCTGAGCCGCGCTTAGCGGCTGCAGGAGCGGCGACGAGTCCGTGGAGGCCATTCGAGAGCTGGTGGGGACACGAAGAACCGAAGACCGGACTTTAAGCCAATCATTTCCATGCGATGGACTGCATTAAAATGATCGAGTGCGGTGCGGCTTTATTACAATCAGTCATTCCTCGGATAACTGATAGGCTTGGTGGAGACAACTTTTATGACTTGGCCGAGTTATGAGTGACGTGAATTTCCAAATTTACTTTTTCGGAAAAGAAAATAGAATCAGTAAATTAGCGGCTTCCCCTTATAATTTTAAATACCCATGTCCTTAGTACGGTCACAAATGCACAAAGGCTCGAGATTTGCCAGCACAGGGCCAAGAATGGAAAAATGAGTCAAAGTGTTCTGGCAAATTAAGCTTACAGTAAGTTTGCATTTCAGATCACCCAGAACACCGTCTCTCTCATAAAAAATAAGCGCACTTATCCAGAATCTATGACAGATAACGAACTTTTTGCCAAAGCCCGAGAGGTGCTTAATATCTATGACCGAAGAAAGGCCTGTCAATGTGGGTGCTTCAATGTCAAACAAGGCGTGTTTCTCTGTTAAAAACTACACGGAGGTGAAGGCCTAAGCATTTTCTATAAGCCTTGGCCTATTTGAGGACATGACCAAGATCTCTAGTGGATAGTCGCAATGCTTCTAAAATTTAAACTCACTGCGCAGCATCAGGATTACGTCGAGAGTAGTTCAGCAAATGGGGGAGCCATAAATGCAGCGTTGGCTGGACTTCGGTCTGTAATTGCTTGCTATGAGGTTTACTGTGTATTCAACATGGATAAAACAAATGGGTGAGAATTAAGAAATCTTTACTTAGACCGATGATGTATACTTAACTTAGAAATGATTTGGGCCTATTTACAACATTATTTAGAGAAGATATTTTCATAGAAAGTGATTGACGGTCTCAAGAAATAAAAAGGTTAGAGCTGAAAAATTTCTAGAAAAAGCTAGGAATTTAAAATTAAAATTTTTCAGTTTAACATCAATTTATTTTACCTTTTTTCAGGTATGGATCTCTAATGCCTGCACGGTCAATGCGGATGGTACTTCGGATTCCATCCATTGTGCTATCAATGACACTCATAGAACCCTAAATTCTTGTATATGCTAGTTCGGTGCACTCAGACACTGAATTTCTCCCTTCCAATGTTTATTTTTTAAGAAAAATGGTTGTCTTTGCTCAGAATCATTATTACATAACTTCCTTGCCCCTCGGAAACCTCATAAAGTTCCCCTGAAATGAATTACGAGTTATGCGTTAGCGGCTATAGAATGAGCATGGTTGGCACGCAATTTGTTCTAAGAAGAATGAAGCTATTAGTGACTGACGCAAGGTGAATACCAAACTTTTAAATCGTACTTATCTGTCTGTGTCTGTCGGTCTGTCTGTCTGTAAAAACGCGGATAATTGTACCTTACCCGTACTTAGTGCGACCAAGCCTATCCCCTATTTATAGGTATAGATATCTTCACATTCACTCTTTGGATAGGTCACTATTCTGACACTAGCTTTTGATTGGCTTACAAGAGATCAAAGATAAATATGATCACACAAGCAAATACTAGACGCTTATTTGCAAAGGCCGATCACGCTACCCGAGTGTTCTATTTTGATTTAATGCACACGTTAAAAACATCGTACTCGTTCTTCAGTGAATGCTGTTGTATAGCGTTTTGCAATTCGATTCATTTCTTATAACTGGATTACTTGTATCACAGGGCAAGCTCCTATGTTTACTACCCTTTCTTGTGAGTTATACGAGTTATGAGGATATAAACAATCCGAGGATTTACTGTAGTATCAAACATTTACATTCCCTAATGAGATAGGAGCAAGCTCTGGAGCTCACCCTCTAATATGAGTACATCACTTTCTGGAACTGAATCAAATTTCTTACGTATTCTCGTTCCTTGCCAGGTGGTTGACGGCAAGGAAATGGACTTTGTATTGTTAAATGAACAACGACAGTTTATGTTGGCTTTTGTGTGCTTATGATATTTTATGGTGTTATTAAGGCTTATAAAAAGAATATGAGAAATGGAAGGTGAACGATGATCCTGCCCGGCAACGCCTTGACAACAAGTGGTGGCCGACGGTGCAACAAGGTTGCCCGTCACATGAGGTTACCAATGTGTCAAATGAAACCAAAATATGTTTATTGATTGTTTCTTCCGACAATATCACGAACGAACTGTGATGCTGTTGAGTTGGCCAAAATATCTACTCCTTTGCTGGTTGTGACTATACCAACCCACCAATCTCTGCCAGAGGCGCAATGGGTGGTGAGTCGATGTCACCATGCGTTTAGTTGTATTAGTATCATTAGGTCAGTTCAAACAAGAACAAGAAGATCAGGAAAAAGTATATTAAATAGCAGTTTTTCTTTTCCCAGGAGCTAAGTCTTGATCTTAGTCGTTTGCCCCTCCTCTGTGCAGTTTCAGAGGTAGCAGAGCACTGGCCTTCACTGTTGTCAGTGAGAATTAACTCTGTACTGGTCATCCAGTACGTTGTTGTCGGTGCCCCGTTACACCTGGTAGCACTTTGTAGTCCGTTCAAGGACCGCACTCGCATCGCCCAACATGAACATGTTGAACGAAGCCGAAGGTGACAGATTTCACGGAACCCGTGAAAGCTACTCCTAATTGAGCAACGTCGAATGGAGTGCTATCGAACGAATAAGTTCGGCCGTTGGTGAAGAAGCTATCGGGGCCATGCTATCAACAAGGGATAGAGACCAGCAGCATCCCGTCAAGTGCAAGTTCTTGCAACGAGAACTTGATGATTTGCGAGCTCAGGTGACCTTGTCGTTATTATAAGATCACCATCGGGCTAAAGCACTGAGACAGCAACTCTCTCAGTCTGCAAATTTGACGCGTGAGCATCGACGGGAGTCTCCGAAACTAGAAATCTCCAAGTATCAGGGAGTCGAGGAAGACTCCCTGTTGAAATGTTCCGTCGAGGCAGACGATTCCATCGAGGCTCGTCGCATAGACGATGAGCGAATATAGGTTGGGTTTGCTCAGTTGTACTTGGCAGAAGAAGACAGAACTTGGGTCTTATATCTCAAGTTGCACGAACCAAACGTGTTTGGATCGTTAAGGATCTTAAAGACCCTGCTCAGTGAGATTTTCGAGCCGCCCAGAGCAGAGTTCAGTACTCTTTTAGAGCTTCTTCAACTCAAGCATGGTAAGCGTAAGGTTCACGCTTGCGCCCAATATATACACTACCTTGCAAGATACATGTAATTGAACCCTGTAATTGAAATGTGTTGATCACGATCTTCATTCAAGGGCTTTCAGACGGTCCTGTCAGGGATCATTGTACCGCGAAGAGCTAAATACCCTCTCAGAGGCAATTTATGCTGCCGGAGCAGGAAGACTTTAGCGTGAGACAGGATCACGCTACGCTGTCCCCGCATCGTCTTCAGAGACGAGCAGCGGTCGGAGGTCAAGAGCCAATGGACCTCTGTCAAGTCTAGGGAGAGAAACCTCGCCCTGCGAACGACACGCGATTGCTGAGATGCCATCGCTGTCAAAAGCTGGGACACTATGCATACGAATGCAGTGTCCCCCGCTCAGAACCTTGCGGTACTGAGAGCGGTAGTCGTCAACTAGCCAGAAGAACTGGAAAATGAGGGTCCGAAACTGTTGCAAAGATGCAACAGCGAGGTGGACCATAAAAAATGGACGGGGCCAGTAGGGGAGAAGCGTCCTACTTCTCCATAAACAACAAGAAAATTTGCGAATCTCTTGACGAAGGTTGCTTCCGACACACAGTCCTTGTGTGTCTCTCTGCACCTAGCAATGAGGTATCTCTCATCACCTTAACGTTGGAAGTGACAAAAGACTTGTCACTTCGCGCCCTAGTCGACTGTGGGGCGTCGAACAACTTGTTTGTAGCCAGTCACTTGAGGCTGGAACTTTGGCCTTCCTTGAGCGGGAGATCTTATCGACAAGGATGACAGTGCGCCTAGCGACAGGCGCATCGATCACTATGAAGAAGCTCTTTGGCGGAATCCAATACAAGCTGTAAAGCAAACAGTACGATGATGATTTCATCGTACTGGACCTGGATGACAAGCTTGACGTCATCTAGGCTTGCCTTGGCTCAGGAGTTTTGGGCAAAGGGTGAGCTGGAAGAATCGATCAGTAAAGATACCTGCCACTTGTTTCAAAAAATGGCACTTGATGAAGCGTCTTGGAACTCATACATGTGTGTGGGTGTACTGTGAGAGAGTGCGATGGCCTTACGTGTCGTACGGTCGCTAACACGACTGTACAAGACCGCAGTGTAAATGATCACTACACTGTGGAGAAAGCTCCCGGCGAATGTAAACGCACAGGCGGCGCCGAAGGTTTATTACTCGCGGACGAGCGGATCGGGGCAGGGATGCATACCAGGGGTGCAGCATCCGAAAAAGAAGAAACCGAGTTCCGGTGATGGGCAATACGAAGGTCCTAGGTTGACTAGTGAGTCGACCGCAGAGGATCGTTGTCTGACAGGTTTTGCGCAGCCACTTTCAGAAGACGTCGAAGAAAATAGTTTCCACGTTAAATCTTTGTATGCTAGGCCGAATCACTATGAAATTAGAGCCGAGATAGTCTACAGACTCGCGTAAAATGTGGCATTTCTTGCCGTTGAAATTAACATCATACTTCTCCAGACGTCTAAACACGATACCCAGGTGCTTGAGATGTGTCTTCTCGCTACCAGAGTAAGCGAGAATATCGTCCAGATAAACGACGAAAAAAACTAGGTCACCAATAATCTTCCGTCGTCGTAGAAATTCCCATCGGGAGCCGCTTGTAATCCAGCTTCCTGTAAGGAAAGCAGGAAGCCGCTTTATTGCGGATTGACGTATCGAGACGACGCGCGTAGTATACCATGTTTGCAACTAGCGTAGAGAGGCAATTTGCTTTCGCGAGACGTAATAACTCTCAACACGTGGGACGTTGTATGGTCTGCACTGCAAATACCGATTGAGACCACGAAAGTCTGCC